TTTTTTTTTTTTTTTTTTTTTTTTTTTTTGGTAAAATTCCACTGAAAAAAAAAACTGTTGTGATTCAGAACTGTTATTGTAAGTAATTATTACAATGTTAGAAAATTTTCATCGTTTACGCAATTAGGTCAGCTGATCAGTTTTATTTCTAGCTTTTTTTGGGTTGTTCTGTTGAAAGCTTACCATCCACATTTGCCGAACAACGATATTCAAAACTTCAACGTCCAGTGTTTCACCAGCAGCTATCGTTGGTGGCAACAACATCAGTGCATTACCTTTACCCTGCATCTTATCGGCTTCTTGACTGAGCTTATAAAATAAGCAATCTTCAAGCACCTGATACTTGTGATGCGCAAGTTCTTCAATATCTGTAAACAGTTATCAACCATCAATGTGGTGTTATAGACAGAAAAATTTATCAAAAAATTTTAAATGAAATTAGTATATTGAAGTAGAGAAAAATTTTTAATGCTATATTGCTGTTGGTTTTTTTTTTTACATTATAAGATTCATTTCTTTCCTTGGTTTTTTTCTCCCCGTTCAATGCTTCCATAACTTTGTTCAAGGTATAGTTTAATAATCGAATACCTAAAAACAGTTCTTCTTTTTGTTTTTGTTTTTTATTTACTTGACAGTGATGCAGTGTCAAAATTCTTTTACTTTCTAAAAATAAACTAAGCAAAGAAAAATAGCATGAAATAAAATGAATTAAAATAAAATGAAAAACAATAAAACAGCGGGGTGAAAGAAGAAGAAGGAAAAAAGAAATCTGCCATTTTTCATATTGTTAAAAAAAGAATTTTTATTTTAGTCACAAATTTTGCTTGATTAGCGAAGTTCACCGAAGTGTTAATCATTGTTGTCTTTGGTTTTGGGTTTGCTTTTTTTTTTTTTTTGAAAATTTTGTGGGTAAAACAGAAAGTGTCGACCAAGCGTTAATAAAATTCTAGTTTTGTTTAAGAGGGTAAGGAAAACGGGCGAAGAAGGAGAAGAAGGTGAAGGTAAAGAAAAAAGAGGGGGGGAAGGGGGGGGGGAAGAAAGGGGAAAGAAATAACAGTGATTAATAAATTTCAGATGAAATAACAGAGTAAAATGTCTTTTTTTTACCTTCAATCAACCTCTGTTACTTCGTTACACACTTCACCAATTTTATTTTTCTCACTTATAGAAGTGTATAGGTGTATGTATATGTTCATATGTATAAACAGAAACAAAAATAGAAGAAGAATAAGG